CCAAGGTGTTATTTCATTTAATCATACTTTAGTTACTCCTCTTGCTTTGTTTGTTCTACAAGGGAATGTTTTTGGCCAACCTGAAAAGGTATTTGTAAGTACTAATAAGTACCTGTACCCTCCTTTTCTTGGAAGTTTAGAGAGATCAGTTTGCCAATGGTCTCCTGGTACACTTCGCTTCCCAATACTTCCTAATTGTACCTGCTTGCCAGTATTTGGGTTATTTTTTAAACATATTTCACACTATTGGGTTACTTGTCGGACTGTAGTATACAAATTTTTCCCTATTAATTTCTGATTTAAAAATTTATACAGGGAGTCCGCTCCCCAGTGTGTCCTATTGTGTTCTTCTTTAACCATCCCCCATATCTGTTTAGCAGGGATTATAATTCTGCTATCACTTGAGTAGGCCCATCCCTTGGATGGAACCTGTCCTCCTAATCCCTCTATTAATTCTTCATCAGCTTTAGAATACTCAATATTTTCTTGGTCAATTAGGTTTCTACTTCTGTTGTCTGGGATTAAGGTTAAAATCTCTTGCATTCTCTCTTTTACCTGTTTAGCTGCATAGTCAGTCAACCTGTTACCTCTTTCCTGGTCAGTGTTATCCTTCAGGTGTCCTCGGCAGTGCATGACAGCAACTTTTGTTGATAGTTGAACGGCTTCTAATAGGTGAAGGATTTCTTCAGCATATTTAATTTGCTTTCCTTGTGCAGGTAGTAGTTCTTGCTCCTTCCAGTATGTCCCATGAGCGTGGACAACTCCAAAAGCATATTTGGAATCTGTCCATATATTTATCTTTTTTGCTAACTCCAGAGCCCTAGTTAGGGCAATAATTTCAGCCTTTTGAGCTGATGTTCCAGCAGGTAGTGATTGAGACTTAACCACTTTGTCTGTTGTTGTCACCACATACTCGGTCCTTCGAATACCTTGTCGGTCAAAGCTGCTTCCATCTGTGAACCAGGAGTCCTGGGCATCTTCCAGGGGTTCCTCTTTCAAATCTGGTCTGCTGGAGTACACAGTCTCTATGGTTTCTAAGCAATCATGTACCGATGGTTCAGAGATTGACCCGCTGAGAAAAGAAGCTGGGTTTATAATGTTACTTGCTACAATGTTAATATCATCTGAGAATGGCCTGGTATTGTAGGAATCGGGACAGGGAAAGCCAGTGGTTCCCTTTTTGTTCCAGTACAGCTGATAGTGTGTGTGAGACCAGTACTGTGATCTTTTGGCCCAAGGTAAATTTTCGGTCTTCCTGAATATTCAAGATTGCTGCCACCACAGCTCACGGACATCCTGGCCATCCTTTGCTTGCTTCATCCAGCTGCTTAGAAAAATAGGCTGCAGCTCTTTTATAGGGTCCCAGCTGTTGAGCTAGGACCCCCAGAGCTATGCCTTGTCTCTCATAAGAAAAGAGCCAGAAAGGTTTAGTAACATCAGGCAGGCCCAGGGCCAGGGCCTTCATTAGTTCTTTCTGAAGTGTCTGAAATGCGTTTTGAACTTCTTTGGACCAGATCAATCAGGTGGGGTTATTTTTCAAAAGTTTGTAGAATACAAGGGTTTCACTATGATTCCGTAATTATAAATCCATAACCGGCACCAACCTGTCATTCCCAGAAATGTCCTGAGCTCTTTTACCATCTAAGGAACGAGAGTCTTTCAAATGGCTTCTTTACATTCTGTTCTTTGTCTTCCAGACAGCTCGTATCCAGGGTAGGTTATCATTGGTGCACCATCTGAGCTTTCTGTTGAGAGACTTGATACTCATTTAGTTCTAAAAACTTTAACAAACTGATAGTCCACTGTGTACAGTCAGGTTATGTTTCAGTTGTTATTAGTAAGTTATTGACATACTGTAAAAGGGTTCCATAAATTCTGACTTTCTTTGGTAAAAGGCAGACAGAAGAATGCATCTTTTAAATTCAATAATGTAAACCATATTTGATCATCTTGTGATTTAGTAAGTTAAGTATAGGGATTAGCTACCACAGGGTGTATGTCTTTAACAATCTTATTCGCTT